TGAATTTATTCCCTACATATTTTTCTTCTAAAAAAATCATCATATCACTAATTTCTATCACATGTACAATCATTTAATATTGATTAATTTGTAGTTTAACATAGTTTAATTTTGATGACATTTTCATACACAATGGTATACATATGTTTAGAAAATTTTGTCAAATTATGTATTTTGAGAAAATTTTTAATATTTTTTAGAAAATAATAGGCAAAAATAAATTTTAAATGATATAATCAAATAAATGAAAGAAAAAAATTGTTATTTAATATAGTGAAATCGATTTTTGGGTGTTCGAATTTTATATTTTTATCGTGTCTTCAGACACGAATTATGACTAATGATATATAACACAAATCTAATATAATATAATTATAAAAATCTGACCTAATAAACAATTAAATATAAATACAATATTTTTTTTATAATATGAAATTGATAAGATTTTACACAAATTCGTCAACTAGAATTAAAAGGGCTAAAAATAACGAGGAATGTTATATTAATCAATTTGAGACTAAATTTAAAATCTAAATGACTTAACAACTGAACTATTTTTATTTGGCATCATCTAATTTAGGTCCTAATAAAAAATTTAAATAAAATACAAAATTTAAACAAAATAACAAACAGTACATGTGGGCGACAGTTTTGCACAATCCGTGGTCTTTCTCTCCATACCAGAGCTGGTCGAGGAAAGGAAGGCAAAACCATGGGCAGTTTTCTGTCAGCATAAACCCAAAACCTCCCATAAGAAAACCGGCTGCTCCGCTCTCTGTATCTACACATAGATTATGTCTTTATCATCAATATCACTACGTGCATTGCACCCTACCAAGTCACCGTCTCACTTTCTCTCTCTTTTCTTTCTCCAACAGATGAAAGAGATCATGCTGCAAAACCTGATGAATCACTAAACCTCTCCGGGTGTTGAAGAAGTGCCTCAGGACCTGGTGATTACTCTTCAATCTCAAAATTTTTCCAAACTTGTTGCTTAATGGCAATTTTATTTATGGGTTGTGTTTGAATATCATTTCAAGTGCTGGGTAGATTTCTTTTTCTAGTTTTGTTTGATTTGATTTTTTTCTCTTTTTTTTTCAGTCGCTTTCGATTGTATTTAGTGTGAAAATTGTAAACCAAGACATTTTTCTCAAACTGGGTCTTCAAAATTTTGACCATAAAGCAGTCTAAGTTTGTTCGATGGAACCTAATGGCTTACCTGGTGGAATGTTTTCTCGAATGGGCTCTGGAATGCTAGGGCTAGAAATGTCACTCCAACACCACCAAAACCACATACCACCACAAAACCCCACGACTTACAACAGCACCACCACCGCCCTATGGTAGCTTACGGCCACCGTGAAATTGCCACCGCCACCAACAACTCAACAATCTGTAAAACAAGGCCAACAATATGCTACAGACGTCAAAAACACAAATTTAACTCTTAGTGATGAGGATGACCTGGACTGACTGCTGAGGACAGTGGTGGTGATGGAAGAAAAAAATGTCTCCGTGGAGAAGAATGAAATGGACTGACAGTATGGTGAGGCTATTGATAATGGTGGTGTTCTATATTGGGGATGAAGCTGGGTCAGAAAGGGAATGACCCTACTGGGAAGAAGAAGGGTGGGGTTTTGCAGAAGAAAGGGGAGTGGAAATCAGTGTCGAGGGCGATGATGGAGAGGGGTTTTTATGTGTCTCCACAGCAGTGTGAAGACAAATTCAATGACTTGAATAAGAGGTATAAGAGGGTTAATGATATACTTGGGAAGGGGACATCATGCAGGGTTGTGGAGAATCAGAGTTTGCTTGATACTATGGATCATGTATCGCTGAAAATGAAGGAGGAAGTGAAGAAATTGCTTAATTCTAAGCACTTGTTTTTCAGGGAGATGTGTGCTTATCATAATAGCTGTGGTCATGGTGCTGGTGGTAGTGGTGCTGGTGCTGGTGGCTGTAGTGGTAATGGGGGAACGGGTGGTGATCACCATTCGCTAGAGGTGGCAGCAGAACCAAGTGAAAATCAGCAGCAGTCACAGCAACAAGGATGTTTGCATTCATCAGAAAATGCCCCAATTGTGCCTAATTCGGGCAGAGCGGAGACAGAGGTATCAAAAAATGGCAAAGGTGGGAAGTGGTGAACACGAGGATGATGATGGGGATGATGATGGGGATGATGATGAGGATGAGGATGAGGATGATGATGAGGATGATGAAGGTGTTGTGGAGGTGGAGCAATAGATTTGGTCATGATGAAGAGGATGATACTGACGAAAGATCATCAAGGAAGAGGCAGAAAAAGGAAATGTTCACTTCCCCTATTATTCAACAGTTGAGTACTGAATTACAGAGTGTAGTTCAAGACGGAAGGAAGACTTCAATGGAAAAAAGGGAGTGGGTGAAGACGCGGTTAATGCAATTGGAGGAGCAGCGAGTGGCCTATCAAATGCAAGCGTACGAACTTGAAAAGCAGCGGGTGAAATGGTTGAAGTTCAGAACCAAGAAGGAGAGGGAAATGGAGAAAGAAAAGCTTTAAACGAGCGAATGAGGCTTGAAATGACAGAATGCACCTTATTTTTCGCCAAAAGGGACTGGATTTGTTTGATCTTCAACAGCAGCAGGAACAACAGTCAATCAACAAGAGGAGTGCCCCAGCCATTTAGCTATATTGGTGCTCATCTGAAGTAGATCAAGATCAAATAAGGAACATATTTTCTAACCATGGCAGCTGTTGGAAAAAACACTCCGAATCCAAGAGGTACAGGTACATAGAAAGAAAGGGAACTCACCGCTCAATGGTACAAAAATGAATTAATTCTGTTTGATAAATGTTTTGTAGCACTTACAACTACTTTACATGATGCAATCAACGATCTGTTGGAGGAAAAGGAGATGAATTGTCTGATGACAGATGAGAACTTTTATGTGCTGAAATTGCACTTGGAGAGATGTTGTGGTAGGACCTTTGTTAGGAGAGATTTACTTACTTTTGAATAGAAATGTTAAATTAGTGTGTGAAGTTCCTAGCTTTCCAAATGTTTGTGGCTTGTGTGGAAAATTAGCAGCTTCTTTTGTGTCGATGCAATTTGTGATCTACAAGCCATACCAAAAACATTTATAAGTCAGGAATCTTTAGTCCAATTTATGGTGATGTTACTGAATATATATCTCATGTTTTAGACCCCATTGATGGGATTGTATTGTAACTCATAAATTCTTCGCTCGGATAAGACTCCAGTATCGAAAGAGGTACGGCCCGAAAGTTACAACTAAATGCAATAATCACATAACTTTATTTGGCATTGAATCGACAAAAAAAAAATAAGAAGCTAGGGGTGCGGTCGTTGTCTTCTCTACTTGATATACTGAAGCAACCGTTCCTACCTTAAAACTTTACTAAGGTTTGGACTTGGGACACCTGAAGCCAAAGCTTTTTGGTTTATCAGAGATACAAAAACAAAACTCTTTAGCTCACCGGGTACTGCTGCTGTAAAGTTGCAATCCTGTCATGGTTATGTTTGTTTACTGATCCTGCTTCCTCTTAGTTTTCATCAAGGGTTCAAACTCTAGCAAAATTAACTCAAAAAAAAAAACGTACACATTGCAAGCACTTTTGCTTCTGGGGGATAGGATAAGAGAAGACAAGGTCGAAAAGCATTCAATTTAGGAACTCACTCGCCCAGGGGAACTCAAACCCACAATCCCCTGATTAGAAGACAGCAGCCTTTTCCATTAGGCCCTGGGCGCCTCTTCATTTTTTGCAAGTAAAACTGTCAAATTTTGTTATGAGCTCCTGATTGAGAGCACGTCATAGGCTTATGAATGGAAAAGAGCACACGGATTGGTCTTTCGTCATCTACCTATTTTTGTTAGGATGCTTCGAGGGATCCTTGACCTCCTACTGGTTCGGTTGAGGGAACTGGACCTCCTTGTATCAATTTAATTGATAGAGATATAATTCTTGATGCTTTATTCATAATCATAGACTTCTATAAATAGAGCTTACAACTTGAATCCTACTGAAATAGAAATATCTAAACTTTAGCTAAAGAAATTCTACTAGCAATAAAAAAATCCTACAAAGTAGTTAGCATCCGATTATATTTCCTAACTTCTCTAGAAAAGATAAAGTCATCTAAACTACTAGAAAAGAAATAAAGATATATCCATATCAACTTCCTTCCCCCCTTGAAATCACCCTTTTCCTCAAGGGTACAATTCGGGATACCGGGCCACAAACTTCTCCATTCTCTCCCACGTGGAATCTGTGGGGATGTGTTTTTTCAATGCACCAAAATCTCCTCTTTTCCTCTCTTGACCTGCCTGTCCATAAACAGTTTGAGGCTTTGGAATGATCGCAGTGCCACTATCATCAAATGGAGGCATCTCTAATTATTCCTCCCCTCCTACCCCAATCTTCTTTTTCAGCAAGGAGACGTGAAATACTGGGTGAAACTTACTGGTAGGCGGCAACTGTAGCTTATAGGAGACCTGGCCAATTCCGCTCGCCACCTAGAATGGGCCAAAATACCTTTCTGATAGCTTCTGATTCCTTTGTTGGGCTAAGGTCTGCTGGCGATAAGACTTCAACTTAACATATATCCCGTCACCCATCTCAAAACTCTTCTCAACGTGGTTCCTATCATAAATTACCTTCATCCTGTTTTGAGCCTCCTTCAACTTGGAACTTGGCTTCTTTGAGCACCTTATCTCTCTCCAAGAGAAATGTATCCATTGAGTCAACAATAGCCGTTCCATGAACATAGGCTAAGAGAGAGGGTGGGTTTCGGCCATAGAGGATCTCAAAAGGGGATTTACCAAAAGCCGAATGAATACTAGCATTATAACAATATTGAACCCATGGAATCCACTAGGAATATTCCTTAGGCTTAGAGTTCGTCAAACATTGAAGATACATTTCAAGGGTTCTATTAAGCACTTCTATTTGACCATCTATTTGGGCGTGATAGGCAGAGCTAAAATTAAATTTCAACCCATTCAACTGAAATAGCTCCTTCCAAAAAGCACTTGTAAAAATCGGATCTCTATCACATACTATGGTCTCCGGCATACTATATGGCTTAAAGATTTGATCAAAAAATATTTGAGCTACTATAGAGGCAGTGTAAGGATGGACAATAGGAATGAATTGGCCAAATTTAGATGACCTATCGATTACCACAAAAATAGTGGTCTTACCCTTGGAGTTAGGTAGTCTTTCAACAAAGTCCATGGAGATCTCAATCCAAACATGCTTCGGTATAGGTAGCAGGCTCAAGAGACCGACAAGCTTAGTGAGCTTGGCCTTATGCGTTTGACAAACTCCATATTCCAGTATGAAATTTCAAACTCCACCCTTCATTCCCTTCCAGTAAAAAGTAGCTATAATGCAATGTAATATCTTATGAAGGCCCTTATGTGTGGTGGAATGATACTCATGTATTACGGATGGAATTAGAGAAGATTTTTCTCTCAGATAAATTCGGGGGGTTTTAAAGAAAAGAATACCTTCTTTGAAAACCCATGGTTCGAGTGCCTCCCCCTCCAAGATTTTCTTGACCAACTCTTGTAATTCGCTTCCTATTTCACTTCAGCTTTAATGGGCTCTACCTAGTGAGGAATCGGTTGAGAGAGAGCCTTTAGTTCACCTTTGAATCTTCTTGATAATGCATCTGTCACCGAGTTCTCCTTCCCCTTTTTGTACTATATTTTGAAACCATATTCCATCAATTTAACTAGCCATTTTTGTTGGGTTGTGGTGGTAATTGTTTGACCCAAAAGGTATTGTAAACTTCGTTGATCTGTCCTCACTACAAATTTGAAGCCTAACAAATATGGCCGCCATTTTGTACTGCGTTGACCAATGTCAACATTTCCTTCTTATAAGTTGAGAGGGTTAACTTTTTTCCCTCAAGGGTTTGGCTAAATAAAGCAATAGGTCTATTCTATTGCATTAAGATTGCTACAAGGCCCATACTTGATGCATCACACTCCACTACAAAAGATGTGGAAAAATCTGGTAGAGTTAAAGGTCGCCCTTGTGTCATGTCTTTCTTGAGTTTTTGAAATGACTATTCAACTAGCGGACTCCACTTGAAAGCATCTTTCTTGACTATTTGTGTAAGTGGCCTTGCTATTTCCCCATATCCTTCAATAAATTTTTTGTAATATCCCGTGAGTCCCAAAAAACCTCTTAACCCCTTCAAATTAATAGGTTGTGGCCAAGACATCATAGTTTCAATTTTCTCGGGATCCATCGCTACCCCCTTTGGTGAAATTACATCCCCAAATAATTAACTTTATTGAGCCTAAATTGACACTTCTCCCTCTTAATAAAAAATTGGTGTTCAAGTAACCTTTGAAATACTCTACCAACATGCTCCAAGTGTTCATTTTCATTTCAACTATAAATTAAAATGTTGTCAAAAAGACTAATACAAACTTTCTCAAAAAATCTTGAAATACCTTGTTCATAATGGATGGGAAAGTGGATGGGGCATTAGTCAACCTGAAGGGCATGACAAGGAACTCATAGTGTCCGTGGTGAGTGCAAAAAGCATTCTTCTCCACATCCTCAGGGCGCATCCGAATTTGGTGGTATCCAGAACGAAAATATAATTTGGTGAAAAAAACACGCACCATATAACTTGTCCAATAGCTCATCAATGACCAATATGGGAAACTTATCTTTTATGGTTACTTGATTGAGAGCCCAGTAGTCAATGCAAAATCTCCATGAACCATCATGCTTCTTGACCAAAAGAACCGGATAAGAGTAAGGGCTTGTGTTATCCTTAATTACCCAAGATGCGAGTAGGCTAATTACAATCTTCTCAATCTCATTTTTTTGGTAGTGTTGATATCGATAAGGCCATACATTTATTGGGCCTGTGCCAGGCTTTAATGGAATTTTGTGATCTTCACTCCTTTGTGGGTAGGGCTGTTAGTCAAACGAGTCCAAGTCGAGTTCGAGCTGAGTTTAAAAAGCTTGTTTCTTAATCGAGCTGAGCCTGAACGAGCTGAGCCTGAACGAGCCGAACCTGAGTAAGTCGAGCCCAAGCCAAACCCGAGTATTTGTACATAAACGAGCCGAGTTTGTCGAGTTTGAACCGAGCTTGTAGGGCTTGTTTTCTAAACGAGCTTAAAAACTTGTTCAAGTTCAGGCTCGTTTAGAAAATGAACAGTGCCTAAACGAGCTGAACCCGAGCCGAACTCAAGCCAAGTTCAAGTAGCTCAGTTTGATTAATAGCCCAATTTGTGGGGGTAATTCTTTGGGCTCAAAAAATAGGTTGTATTTGTCCAATAGTCCTTGCATGCTAGGTTCGGTCGGCTCATCCGTCGACTAATTCGGACTCAATAATATAGAAGTGAGTTGAAGAAGATATGCCTTTTTCTCTTTTTGGAGGTCGCTGGGCAGTGAATGCATTTTAGAAAATATGTCTTGAGGACCCTTCTCCCCCACAACTCTACCGTCTTTCCCTTCCACCAAAATCTCATCCATAATTCCTTGAATTCCCAAATCACTGGCCCTAATTG